CTGGCGGGCACGGCAAGGAGGCACCCACGCCTGGGGCTGCAAGGGGTGGGGGTCCTGGGGTACATGAGGTGTAGCACCCAGGCTTTGGGGGGCCGGGAGTAAGCAGCCCCCTCCCTGCCCTGGCTCTCACCTGCCCAGAGGACATCGGGCTGTACTGCAGCACCCCTGACCTGCAGCACGTGCGCTGCGAGTGGAGCTGGGACCCCGCAGAGCCCCTCAGCTCCCACCAGCTCTTCTACCGGGCACCTCCGAGCGGGGCCGGCACAAGGTAAGGGGCATGGCAGGGACATGCCACTCAGGCGGGTAGGTGGCACATCCCAGGTAGCACCAGCCCTGCTCAGTGTCCCACATCCCACACTGTGCCACCTGGCTCTGTGCCCTGCCCTGCCCTACCACCATTGACCTCACACTTCCCCACCACTGCTCCCAGCCACGCTGCCCCCCCGACTACGGGCAGCACTGGCCATCCTGGGCGAGTGCAGGAGGAGCAAGGCAGTGCCGGCTGCAGGAACAGGGTGGCCCAGAAGAGGGCTGGTGGAGGGCGAGGGGAGCAGGGTCACCATGGGGGGGGCTGACTGGCTCCCTGCTCCTTGTGCAGGGAAGATGTGTGGCAGCGGTGTGAGGAGGCGAGCATGGGGGCACAGGGCACCCATGCCTGCACCTTCCAGCCCAGGGCTGGCAATGCCATCTCTGTCCTTGTGAATGTCACCCGGCCCCATGCACCGCCCACACTCAGCTACTTCAAGGAGCCCTTCTGGCTGCACCAGGCTGGTGAGTCCCAGTGCCATCGTGGCCCCTGCCCTTGCCTATGCCTGGCTGGCAGGGGACACAGTGTCCCTCCCGTTCCATGGCAGTGACACGTCCCCATCCCCAACAGTGCTCACAGAGGCCCCGCAGCTGGTGCAGGTGACGGTGTGGCAGGGCAGGCTGAGCCTGCAATGGCTGCCACCCCTGGAGGCACTTGCAGAGCAGCTGGACTACCAGGTCCGCTACGCTGTGGAGAACAGCCATGACTGGAAGGTAAGGCATGGCTGGGGCTCCCCCGAGCAGCCCTGCCCGCTTCCACTGCCCACACATGGCCCACGCGGGGTCAGGCAGGACAGACCCGCACCCCAGCACTGTCCCTCAGCCTCCCCGCAGCAGCTGTCATCTCCAGCTCGGCTCTGACCTGCAGGTCCTGCAGGTCCCGCGGGCAGCCAGGAAAGAAGTCCTGGACCTACGGCCAGGCGCCCGCTACTGTGCCCAGGTGCGGGCCCAGCCCAGCGGGCCATGGTACCAGGGCAGCTGGAGCGCCTGGTCCAAGCCTGTTGTAGCTGACGCCACGGCCGATGCAGGTAAGGGACAGGGCAGGAGCGGAGGCTATGGCCAGAGGAGCCACAGGGCCAAGGGCAGGAGAGCAAGGGTGCTGGAAATGGGATGGGGAAGACGGAGCAGAGGGTGGCAGGGCTGTGGAGGGCTCAGCGGTGGCGGGTCTGGGGAGGGCTACAGTCCCAGCGTTCCTCCTCCAACGCAGGCTGGATCATCCCGAGTGTCACGGTGGTGCCGCTGCTGCTCACGGGCGTGCTCCTGGGGCTGCGGTGCACCTTCCCCTCCCTCTACAGGTAAGGGCTGTGCCTGGGGCAGGTGAGGGGGGGTCCGGCATCAGGCCTGGGCAGCCTGCCCGGGGGCGTCAGGGCACCCCAGGACTGGCGTTTGCCTTCGACACCCCCTTCCCTGCACCCAGCAACGTGAAGCAGAAGCTCTGGCCCCCCGTCCCCGACCTGCACCGCGCACTGGGCAGCTTCCTCCACGAGAGCAGCAAGCCCGGCCAGGTGAGGCGGCCGGGC